GTTAATGTGCGCGACGTGTTTGAAAAATCATGCGTTGTCGACTGGAAGCCACCGAAAGAAAATGGTGGTACTCCAATTCAAAAGTATGTTATCGAACGTCAAGATCTTTCGTCGAAGAAAGGATGGGAACCTGCTGGCGAAGTTCCGGCTGATAAGCCAACCACATTCAAAGTCGAAGATCTTACTCCGAATAAAATATACAAATTCCGTATTCGTGCTGTCAACAAAGTCGGCCCAAGTGAACCGGCCGAATTCAAGAATAATGTTGTAGCTAAGAATCCATGGGAAGCGCCAGGCAAACCAAAGGGACTTGAAGTTACCAAAGATTTCGATAAAGATCCAGTTCTCAAATGGACTAAACCAGATAACGATGGTGGTGCTGCGATCACTGAATACGAAATCGAAGTGAAAGACAAAAACAGCAAAGAATGGGTTAAAAAGAAACGCGTTCCAGCTTCTGTAGCATCGACATCCGTTGAAGGACTCAAAGAGGGTGAATATGATTTCCGTGTGCGTGCCGTAAACAAAGCTGGCCCTGGTGAACCTAGCGATTCAACCAAGCTTATTATCAAACCACATAAATTTAACAAAACACTCAAAGACACAGTTGGTGTTGAACGTGAAAAGGTGGTTCTTGACATTGAATTGGAAGATGAAAAGGCGCCAGCCGAATGGAAACTCAACGGCAAACCAATTAAGCCCAGCGATCGTGTTGAAATCAAGAATTTAGGTGGTGGTAAACATCAATTGGTAATCAACGACTTGAAATTGGCTGATGCGGGTGAGATTTCAGTTCACTCAGGCAAATTGAGCTCATCGTGTAAACTCAACGTTGAAAAGGGTGAAACTAAACCACAAATCAACGCACCAAAAGAATTCGAAGGAACCGTCGGTGCACCGGTTGTAATTGAAGTGCCGTACAAAAGTAAGTATTTTGCATGGCAAAGTTTATTTACAAATATGATATGAACTAACATAGTTTTTTTTAACTTTGTTTTGGGTTTTATTCAATAGTTGACGGTAAAAAGCAAACTCCAATCGTAGCAGCGCTGCTTAAAGACGGTAAACCATTGAAAGATGTTGAAGTGCAAGTCAAAGATGATAAAGTTCTTTTTACGATCAAGAAACCAACACGCGATCAATCTGGTCCATATCAAATTAAATTGTCGAATGGCCAAGGCGAGGATGTGAAAGACGTCAAAATCACAATGCAAGATGTTCCAAATGCTCCGCAAGACGTTAATGTGCGCGATGTGTTTGAAAAATCATGCATCGTCGACTGGAAACCACCGAAAGAAAATGGTGGTACTCCAATTCAAAAGTATGTTATCGAACGTCAAGAGCTTTCGTCGGACAAAGGATGGGAGCCTGCTGGTGAAGTTCCAGTTGATAAACCAACCACATTTAAGATCGACGGTCTTACACCGAAAAAAACATACAGATTCCGTGTTAGTGCTATTAACAAGGTTGGTTCTAGTGATCCAGCCGAATTCAAAAATAATGTCTTAGCTAAAAATCCATGGGATGAGCCAGGTAAACCAAAGGGACTTGAAGTTACTGATTGGGATAAAGACCATGCTGACTTGAAATGGACTAAACCAGACAGTGATGGTGGTGCTGTAATTACTGAGTACGAAATTGAAGTGAAGGAGAAAAACAGCAAGGAATGGGTGAAAAAGAAACGGGTGCCAGCCTCTGAAACGTCGACAACAATTAAAGATCTCAAAGAAGGTCAGCAATATGAATTCCGTGTGCGTGCCGTCAACAAAGCTGGTCCTGGTGAGCCAAGCAATGCAACTCAACCAATTGTTGCCAAGAGCCGATTCGTTAAACCATTCATTACTGGCGATCAATTGAAGAAAATCATCATTAAAAAGGGCGAACAATTTTCATACCAAATCCGTTACGGTGGTGAGCCCGAGCCCGAAGTCAAATGGCAAAAGGATGGTAAGGTACTTATGGCAGATGGTAAACGTATTACGATTGACAAATCAGGAGGCACCACTACTTTGACTGTTCGAAAGTGTGTTCGTAGTGATTCTGGAAAATACAAGCTCATTCTGACCAATAGCAGTGGAACAATTGAATCGGCTGGAGAAGTCATTGTACTCGATAAGCCATCTCCACCAAAGGGACCATTAGAAGTAACCAATGTAACTGACAAAGGGTGCAAACTCAAGTGGAATAAACCAGATGACGATGGCGGTGTACCAATCAAGCAATACAAAATTGAACAACTTGATACTAAAACCGGTAAATGGTCGCTTCTTACTAAAATTGGTGCAGATAAAACGGAATATAAAGTAACTGGCCTAACCGATGGCCCTGAATACAAATTCCGTGTATCGGCTATCAATGATGAAGGAGAATCCGATGTATTGGTCACTGAAAACTGGACAATCACCAAGAAAACAGAAGAAACAGTTGTCGAATATAAAAAAGAACCAGGCCAAAGAGGCGCTGAAGTCGGTGTTGAGACATACACTACCGAGAAGAGAGGTAAATTCAATTTTGTTGATTTGAATTTCATTTGCTCATAAAATTTTGTCTATTTACAAATGATCAAAGCATCATTTTTTATTCATTCATTTTTATTTTACGCAAAGAGATTGTAAGACACTGATATCAACTCCAAAATGCATGCTAATCTTTTTAAATATATTTCAGGATTTGACGGCGATGCAGAGACCACTACCAAAACAACGGTTACGACAACAACATCGAAAAACAAGATACAGGATGGAGGTCGCACACGTACAGAAACTCGAACAGTCAAGAGAATTGTCACAAAAACAAGCACAGCACAGGAATACGAAGAGTACTAACATATTCATTATAAGTTTTTCTATTTACACCTATGTTTGCAATATAAAATTGGCACAGCTGAGTAGCAACTGGAAAAAATCTTAGCAACACTAGGAAAAACCACTACCTCCTAGATGTCCCTTTGATTTGTTGCCTTGTAACTTGACTGTGGGATTTTTGGGCCTGTTTTTTTGAACAAAATTCTACAAAGTTAAGCCATAAACTAGCTATCATCAATTTGTTAATTGATTTTTATACGTTTGATTAAAAAACCAAATATAACTCGAATTTTGTTGTTTTTATTAATTGATAGGTACACACTCAATATTATAGCGACATCTATTATTAAAATAGCTTGTAGTAAACGCATTCATAGCATTTCACTGTAGTTGCGATGTTACCTATTAAATTCCCCTGTGGTATGTAGTTAACAAGTGTCAAACATGAATGTGTCAGTACTACAAGGGAACTTAATAGGAAACATCGCAACTACAGGGAAATGCTATAAATGCATTTACTACAAGCTATTTTAATAATAGATGTCGCTATAATATTGAGTGTGTATATATAATTATATATATATATATATCAGTTTATATAAACTTCACAGCTCCCAAGCAAACTGTTTTGCAAAATTTTGTTGTGATAATAGTAGTCATCAAACCCATAATCAGCCGATTGAAAAGTCAAAAATAATTTCTATTTTGGACCGTGATGAAATCTTTTGAGGTATTCTTGCAATATTGGCGCTTTCATTTGATATTCTATTCATTAGAATTGATCAACCGTGCAATGTTTTATGATAAACTCAAACTTCAAAGTAAGAAATCTAATCGAATGCTTTTTGTCATGGCTTATATTTGAAAATAATTATTTTTTATAATTCATTCACGATTATAGCAACAACAAAAAAAGAAATCAAATTTTCGATTAAAGTTGAATATAAAAAACCCAAAACTCGTCCTATAAATTACGAAAATCATCCTAAATATTACACGAATCTACCTGACAAAATAACAAAATCGACCTAAAAGACCCTAATTTCGTCCGAAAAATAATACAAAAAAACATCCTAAAAAATAGATTGTGTTTGTTACAGTATATTTTACTGAGTTGTCTCATTGCCATTGAGATATGTATATAATTAAACATACAGTTACTCACAAAATTGTTCAATGTGTCCAAAACGCATATTTTCTATATCGCATGGGGCAAATATGGTAATATTATCGTGTGATACTTGCTTACCTGCGTCTCATATTCATCATATTTCGTCAAAAAAGGAACATTCGGCTACATCTATTCGTAATGCTCAATTTTATGTTACAAAATATCGCTGATAACATTTGATGCTGTCGTTTTTACAATCTAAGGAATTTCCGTTCATTTCGTCTATTCCACGGTTCTCTGTTGAGTCACTCTTTAATCATTTCCTTCTTCAATTCTACAGCATCAAAATAAGAAACATTTTCGATATGTTTTATCAGAAAATGGTTTCATTTTAGTTATCAACAACAAACAATTTCGAAGAAAACAACGAAAATCATTTCCAACCAATTTTTTAAATTTTATACCAATCGAAATGATTTTCGTTGTTTTCTTCGAAATTGTTTGTTGTTGATAACTAAAATGAAATCATTTTCTGATAAAACTAACGAAAATATTTCTTATTTTGATGCTGTAGAATTGAAGAAGGAAATGATTAAAGCGTGACTCAACAGAGAACTGTGGAATAGACGAAATGAACGGAAATTCCTTAGATTGTAAAAACGACAGCATCAAATGTTATCAGCGATATTTTGTAACATAAAATTGAGCATTACGAATAGATGTAGCCGAATGTTCCTTTTTTGACGAAATATGATGAATATGAGACGCACGTAAGCAAGTATCACACGATAATATTACCATATCTGCCCCATGCGATATAGAAAATATGCGTTTTGGACACATTGAACAATTTTGTGAGTAACTGTATGTTTAATTATATATTTCAATGGCAATGAGACAACTCAGTAAAATATACTGTAACAAACACAATCTTTTTTAGGATGTTTTTTGGGTTTTTGAGGACATTTTTAGGTTTTTTTAAGATTTTTTTTGTACTATTTTTCGGACGAAATTAGGGTCTTTTTGGTCGATTTTTTTTTAGTTTTTTAGGACGATTTTTGTATTTTGTCAGGACGATTTTTGTGATATTTAGGATGATTTTCATAATTTATAGGACGATTTTTTGGTTTTTTATGACGTTTTTCGTTTCACCCAATATTTGTAGGGGATTTAACAAATAATTTCTTTTTAATTTTTGTGTTTCCTGAAGTAAGAAAAATCAGTAAAAATTATTATACGATAGTCTCTACCTTCTTATTTTTATCATAATAAATTCAGTTATTCCATTGGTTTTATTCTTTGTGTAGAATTTTGGTTCTTTTTTCTTCTTATGTGTCACAGAAGTGAAAAGTGATGATTCAAACGAAGATAGATCATCATCACATTTGTTTTAGTTTTTGTAAACCGTTGTGAACATATCTAAACAGTTCGCTGAGTGAGCTGTGCAGTGTAATTGGTCCATGTTCATGATCAAGCCCAATGAAGAACTCTTTATGATTCCCTCTGATAACTAATGAATCGGCCAAATCCCATATCTCATGACTATTCGATAAATATGCTGATAACGTGTTTTGGTGCTCGATAACTTCCGAAAGGTTAAGCTCGTTCCTCTTAATTTTGTAAAATTTTAAATATGTTAACGATTGGCATCTTAAATTCAGAATTTTCACTTTACTGTGAATGCTTCTTTGAGGCAAATGGTGTTCGTAAATTCGAAATTTCGTTGCAATGTATTTCAATAAACTGAGACTATCTTTGTACATCGTAAACGCTGTCCTTGCCGTGACTGCATCTCGCTCCATTCCAAGACCTGTCAGCAGAAAATATACAGCTGCTTCTGTATACAAAATGGCTTGTAACGAATCATCCGTTTCAACGTCTGCTACATGTTTCAATCTCTTTGCTTCTGATAACAAACGAGGTAGATCTTGTATTTCTTCTGAATCGTCTCTGTCGTCGTTTGTACGCACGAAATGGTAATAATGAACTTTGGATTGTGATAGTTGATTTTGAAGTTGGATTCTATGATTCATCACTTCAATTTCTTCTGCATCAAAAAATCCATTATATGCGGCAGTGTACTGCGAAAACTGTTCCAATGTGAGTTTTTCAAATGGAATTTGACCGAACAGCTCTCCCAATTGAATTCTTAAATTCCCTGGGCTCGTCTCAAAGTTGTTTCGATTGCATTCGGCTTTAGCCCATTCCATGCACGCCATGACTGTCTCTAAGGCGCTCCAACCTGATGATACCACAGTCAATATTTTCTCCAACAAACTACGTTCAGCCTCAAGGAAACTCTCTGATTCCATTACTTTAAATGCTTTCGTTTTGATTTTATTCTCGCAAAACTCGATCAAATTTTTCTGCTCAAGAACCAAAGCGATGCTATAGCCAGAGCACATATCATTGATGGTCAATGATTTTTGCAGCGTTTTTTCACATGCTTCCATGCACTCTTCCATATCGTACTTCTTGCATAAATTGATCACTTGCACGATATGCTCGGCTGATAGTCGCACCTTATCCAAGTAAAAAAACTGTAAAAACTCTTTGAATGCAGCGGCACATGCATCTGCAATCGGAATATTGCTTCCTTCCTTTGCCGGACCATAGAACATCGCATCAAACACTGGATTTTTAAGTGATAGTATGACCTTGTGCGCTGGAATCTTTACCGGGTGATCGGTATCGACATCAAATACAAAGTTCACATCGGATGTCTTCGAATCCAAATACAGTCCGCGAATTTTTTTCACATAAGTGTTTTTATACACAAACGATTTTCTACTCATCGTTAATGACATTTTTTATTCGGTTTTGTCTTTGTTTTTAAGAGTTGGAATTATGTTTGAAACACCGGCGTTTTTAATAAATTACGTTGATTTAGGCGACTAAATGAAGATTCTTAAATGTTCACTTTTATTTATATTTCAAAACATGGAATGTTCTCAAAACTTTTCACTATATTAAACGAATATCTAGTAAGCTGTGATCGACCAGCTGATCGATTGCATCTAGAACAAATTTCGTCGAAACAATGATTACGACAGCTGTCAATATGCAATTCCAGTCATTCCATTATTCAACTGGAAGTAGTATTTATGGTTGTATTGCCGCCATCTAACGGAGTGTGATGCATACTACAATGTGCATTTGACAATAAAATTTTTTTGTTCAATCATCCGTTTCCTCCTATTCCATTTATTTTATTTTATTTTATTTATTTATTCATTTATTTATTTGGTTTCTTCATGTGTGCCTAGGATAATATCCTAGTAGGATATATACAATTACCACGTTGCTTAGAATCTACTATCTCTTATCACATCATACATATATATCACGAAATTCCTTGCTCCAAAACAATTAACTAGTCCATATATATGTACATTTTTACGACCAAAATTTTGAAAATGAAATCAACAGTTAGCCTGATTTAAATAGATAATTTTTCTAATCTAAAACAATGTCTCAATTGTATCAATTAAAGAACTTCCTGTTTTTGTTTCCAAATAATGAGTCAGATTTACTATCAGGTAATATTTTGCACATATAACAAACCACTTATTCTCAAACAATGTCCATGGTATCGAAAATACAGAAGAAATTAGTTGAGTGAGTCAGTCAGAGTGACGTAAGTCCGAAATGAAGAATTAGTTACGATTGCTGACTCGTGTATCCATTTACTCGAAATTATTGGTGAGCGCAAAACATAACAGATAACAAACATTGCTAGTTTTCTCAAGAGTCAATGCCAATTTCGAATGAAAATGATTTACACATTGGACAGGGTCATGAAATATATGCAACCACTCCACCAAATGGTTTGTAGTCGCAATAATTAGCCGCAAGTGTTCATAATTCTCATCGAAACTTTTACCAAAAATATGTAACACACATGCAACAAATAGGAGAAAAAATACGAGATAACTATGGTACTTCATGCAGTGTACAATGATTTGAAGTTTTCAGACAATGGTCGAATTTATCACATGTGATAAAATGCAGTCGAATACTCGACGCGTGGCTCAAAAACATGTTCATTTCGACATCAATAAAGCCGATGTTTTTTTAGAGTAACGTACAACCTTGACGTTTGTTCCATTGGTTACTGTACCACGTAGCAGATGGAACTGATTTTTCATCACCATTCGTTGAGTAGATTCATGAATCCCCCAGGAAATTTTCGTTGTAAAATTCAAAATCGACCGAAACATACTGCGTGTCGAACGTAATGAGGCTTTCTTGGCTAAACGGTGTAATTATTGTCGATTCCAGCTGTGTCTAGTTTCAGTGCACTATATAAACAATTCATAAACATGTGCAATGCTGCTTGCCTAGTCAAATCTATCAAACTCAATGTAAATGTCATGATGCAAATTCATTCAATTGCGAACTTTTGGCCAATCAATCCAGTCGTGCATTTCATTATCCTCACGCAATGAGGAATTTATTGATCAAGTTGAAAGCGAAGCAAGATGAATGGTGCGAAAAAACGCCAAAGCAAAAGTGGCAATCGATTTACTATTTCGCCGGTAAGACGAGTGAACTGATTAGTGTACAAGGAATGTACAATTTTTAGTTATTTCAGGCAATTTTTTTTTTTTAAGTCACATTGCGTTTCTCAAATTTAATTGAATTTCACAATAAGAAGAAGATCCCGAAAATTTCAGTCTCTGATTGATAGCATATATTATAATTTTTCTCCTAATAAAACACGCGTTGTTACTGTTGAAAAATTCACATTTATTCAAAAGAAAGCTCTTGAAACTCAATTCAAAATACAAATAGTGCTTCTATGTTACCATGGCTCGGAGTAAAAAAAAAATTGAAATATGAAATTACTTTTTTGTTACTAACATGGTACGTATGTATTATGCATTTCATAAATTGGTACCGATGCGAATTGATCCGTTTTCACAGCACAGTCAAAAAGTAAGTGTAGCCCTGTTCTTTCGATCTGTTTTTCATCTTTTTCATCTTTTGCTGTCCCTTCTTCGTGTGATAAATAGCTTTCAGATGGTTCTCTGAAACAGCACAGATTTACAGTCCAATTATATTGATTCAACTGACCAGTGGTGTTATTTTCTTGGCTTTAAGCGTTTTTTTCATTGGACCTGGTATCAAAAGGTTGCTGCAACAGCAATATACCACAGGCGATCCTGGTGGCACCGATTGTTATGTGTTGAAAAATACATTGTAACACACAGGATTTTACTATCGGTGCCACAAGGTGGTATAGTGGTATATGCTCTTGCAGCAACGGTGTGCCTGGTATGGAATTATCGATTTTTGATCTAATTTTTCCGGAATGTGAAGAATTATTCTTTTGTTTTTACTTTAACATTCGATTGGTAATATCCAATAATTGCAGCAATATAGGCATATTGATATCAACGTCTGTGTTGTTCTGTCTTGTGGATTGGTCAGCGCTTCAAATCTGTTTTTGTACTGTCACTTTGGAAATCTGGCCACTGAAAGCTAGAATCTGGTCACTGAAAGCTTGGCCATGTTCTTGTTTGAATCCAATTGGCTTGAACATTCCATTGATTTGAAGAAAAACCGGATTTTAATGATCGCAAATGCTCAAAAACCATTGTTCTACCATGGACACGGATTTGCATATTTAAAGATGGAGACTTTTACTAAAGTAAGCAAGTTTTCAGCTATTATATGTATATGATGTTCAAGGCGATGACCAAGTAATCTAAAGATAATCGTGATGTTTACACCTACTTCAGATACTTATTGTGTTGCAGATTATGTTGGATTTATTGTGTTGTACAGCGTATTCAACATTTCACCTAAAATAATCGAATGTTCCGTTGTAAATGTTATGTATTATTTGTTTCATGTCCATTTTCCCATTATTGGATGGTTCTCCTCAATCCAAAAATATCTATCCTGAAAAAAAATCAGGTTATTTCGGGACACAGCCGCCCGAAAAATGAATGAAAATACCATCAATTCAAAGATATGCATAACCATGTTTATTGTTTTTTAATATAATTTATTGTCCAGAGATCACATTCAGTGAACAAAACGATCATTTTTTTCTATTTTGAACTGTTTAAAACATATGCACAAGGTTGTTTCATACCGAGTAGGATGCTCAAGAATCATTTTCGATGAGCCTTGTGGTCATTAAGATTTTGTGCTAACCATCCCATTGTACAAAGAAAACGGAGAGCAAAAATACAAACGGGCTGTAGTAATGTAGTATACACAGAGAGCAAGCTACTGCGATTTTCGGATACTCTATATAAAACAACCATGCAAATATTCTCAAACATTTCAATTAAATTGATCAAAGATTGAAAACACTCAAATGTAAATATTAATTGTACTTTTGTTCGTCACTCTAAACCATTTGTCTAAAATTGGTCAAACGATGTAAAATGTGTAGGGTTATGTTTCGTATAATATACTTGTATCCAAACGATTTCGTTTGTTGAGTTATTAGGTTTGTGTTGACAAAATTGTTAAAGTCTTTGAAAGGATCCTGCAAACTATGCTAGAAATTATGTTGAATAATGAATATGATATATATTTAATACATTGTTTAAGTAATTTTCTAACTATTCCAAATGATTCAGTCAATGAAATGATTTGCTGATTTATGGAATTACTGTTCTGGCAGTTGATATTGATTCCTATGTTGATATTGATTCGATGAGCTTTTACTTGAATCGCTAACCGGTCGAAACTGTTCAAGCTTATGAACTAAAATGGCTTGAATCGCATGCAACTGATTTAAATTATTAATTCCGTGAGAATTACAAAAAATCCAAGTAAAATGACAAAAGCTCAATGTGCATTGTGCAATCGTAAATCACGCAATAAATACACACATTATACATAAGAGCATTAGCTTTTGTTTGATTTACAAGGATTACATGCAACCTCATTCTCATCAGAGTTCAATGCATTGCTTTAATTCCAAATATAGATGCAAATGTATCTTCAGCTTTAGTTCCACGTTCAGTTTTGAATTTATTGGTAAAATTAACGTCAAGTTTGGATTTTAGTTTCAACGTTTATTCGTAGCTCAGTTTTTCAATTCCGAAATTGAACAATAGATCATACAACTATCAAACTGATTGACAGTCTTAACTAACAAACTAAAAAAATACTTAACAAACAAGCTAAACAATATTACTTATTGGACAACATAATGCCATTTCTTTAGTCAAAAATTTCGTCAAAAATACTTTGTTCAATGAGAATAGAGTATTTTCTAGGTATATGTGGTATAGTTGGTATAGGTAGTATAGGTGGTATAGCCTTCATTTGCACAAAATGTCGCACAAATTTGGAATAAAGAAATGTTTTATGTGCAAATACATATGTTGATTTGAGATATGAGCAGATGAAAATGTTACTTATATGGTGGTTGCAAACAAAGATGACTTTTTCTACATCAATAAACTTTAAAAAGTAAACACTCGTTGTATAGACATCGACCGAAGAAAAAAACATGAATTACAACATTTCTATAAATGCTTAAAAACACGATTTGTAAGTAAAACACCATGAAAAATGTAGTTTTGATGCTTAAACACCAGCATATCCTTCGCTAGGTGCTGCTGCTGCTCCAGTCGAACCAGCCGAATCGGTGAGACGCTCCAACATGGATTTATACAAAGAGTAACAAACAATCCAAAAGTATACCATTGGACCCACTGTAAAATTAAAATCATTAAATCAAACATCATATTTTGAGCCACAACGGCTTTGTGTCAATTGGCAATAAATTTCAATGCATTTCTTTTTCTCTATTTACCTAAAATAACCAGAACAATAGTATAGACGATATTTGCTTCCACGAGTTTTTTAGCGTCATCTTGTTCTACCTCTGCGTTCATGATTAAATCGAGAATAATTGCAATGATGAATACCTGAATCAATCCAATCAAATCCGATATCAAACGAGCAAACATAAAATAGGGCTTGTCCTAATCGAGAATGAAGAGAGCGTACAAACGTCAAAGTAAATTGAAAAATATAAATAAATTCATAAATGCATAGGTTATATTGTGGTTAGAATTTAGTTCAAAAGCTTGAATTAACATCCCAAGAGAAACGGCCAATATGTTTATACGCTGTCTATCCGCCGAAAATACACTACAATATATATATTCACGCTTATTGGACGCCGAATTCAATATATATTCTAGTGTATATTCGGTGTATTCTTCAGCGTGAAACATATTGAATCAATGAATGCATTCATGACCATCAGAATATGTTTCAATATGTTTCACGCTGAAGAATACACCGAATATACACTAGAATATATATTCAATTCGGCGTCCAATAAGCGTGAATATGTATTGTAGTGTATTTTTGGCAGATAGACAGCGTATAAACATATTGTCCGTTTCTCTTGGGATAGTACACATAAACGACGTATATGTGTATTACACGTACATGCATTTGTGCTTATTGAATTTACCTTATGAATTCCGTATAACCAGCAGATGGTTGTAAATAGTGAGATAACTGAAAAAATGTAACGGGAAAAATTTAAATTGAAACATCATCGTTTTTGAACGCGGATTTAATAAAATACTCACCGCTCCAAAAAAGATTTTCACCCTTAAAAAGGAAAAAGATGTTTGAGATGAAGACGAAAATACCAATCACAAGTCCTGCCGTTCGCAAATCAAGAAAACAGCAACACGTATTTACGGTTGGAATTTTTAGTGACATAAATTTATCATGGAATTTTCCGCGGTACTCGTTGTATTTTTCCATTTTGGTGTGGGTTTGTAACGTCAATTCAACTTTTAAGGTAAATTGCTCGAATTTTCAATAATCAAATGGAAAGAACGAAATATTTGATAAGCCTGAAAGAAGAACGCCAATATACACAAATTGGTTTTGTCTCGAGTTATTGATTGGTTTTGTCTCGAGGTATTTACGCACCTTTCACAGTTTTATTCAAAATTGCTTGGACAAATTCTAAAATATTACAAATTTAATGTAAAATTTTTGTAATCTATTCAACAAATATAGGGAAAAAATATGATATTCTCTTGAGGTAATAAATTTTCGATGTTGAATCACTTCAACTGATGGGAAATATAATTCTTTTTTTATTTGACAAATGCTAAAAGCGTGGGCATGCGTACTAGCGGGAGGAATGAATCGATTTTCTCCCTACACAACGACTGAATGTGTAATTAAAAGCATTCCATGTTTGTACGTAATGTTTCACTTTTCCCCCATTGGAACGCTGAAGAGGAAATCAATACGTTTAAGCGCACAAAATATCAACGTCTAGACGATATGCCACGAATGAAGCAGTAAATACGCACAATCACGCATCACCTTTGACATTTGCACACAGAGAAATACAGCGTGTTTAACACACACACATACACACGCGTATTGAATACACTCGCGCCGGCAAATGTCCATTTGGTGTGTGAATTCACGCATGTGTATCATATTAAAAACTGGAAAATATAACGGAGAATGTGACTATTTCCAACGGAGGAGCTCAACTAAGAGGGTAAACGGCCGGATATCGGTACACACATAGAGCACTTCAAAGGATTCTCGTGGCGCAATATGTAGCAACGGATTTGAAATCGAACACGTTCATAGTATTAACTACTTTTCAATGATTTTGTTCAAACCGACGATACGACTGTTTTGAGCAATAAGCATTTAAAACGATACAATTTTGATGTTATATGAATGGTTTGGAGCGAAAATGTAATACAGAAATGACGGCCTGAGAAGAAAAACCTTTCCTACAAAACCTGTGCGCAGAACACAAACACAGAAATTTTTTAGTCAAAAGGCGAACAGCAAATTTGCGAGCGAAAAAACCTAATATATTTACAGCGAGCGCAAAAGTATAACAAGCCTACTAGCATGCAAACTCCGTATAAGTAGGCCTGTTATGCTTTTGCGCTCGCTGTAAATATATTAGGTTTTTGCGCTCGCAAATTTGCTGTTCGCCTTTTGACTAAAAAATTACTCGTTATAATTATTATTGAACTTCAAAAGATTTGATATTGATGGAAGCATATATTGAACATAAGACAAAGTCGAAGAAAAGTCAATATAAAACTCAAATTTTTGGACAAAACCATCATGACTCATGAAGAAAGAGAGAAAAATACTCAAATTTGAACTTCACTTCCAAGTAAAAAAAAAAAAGCTCTTTCGCCCAACAAGTAGTAACATCGTGTTAAATCTTGTCTTTTGTTCAATCAAAACCAAAAATTTACTTCAAAACTGTCGAATTGATCCAAAAAGGTGCGTTTTTGTTTGATTTCAACATTTCCAACAGGTTTTGAGTGAAAAACGGTGGTGATTTTTCAAAATTTTAAAATAAAATGCTGTAAAAACTGTTCCTATATTCACTGACATCTATTGAAAGTGCGCGAAAGTTTCCTTCGCAACCGGTCTAAATAGTTGAAAAAACGTTGAATAATTATTCAATTCTTCTTATAAGAAGAAACGGTAAGATTTGAAATGGAATCGTTTTATTTGAATTTTATTTCATTGAAAATAAAAATTTGAATGACTGCGATTTATATCTTGAATTCTTATTTCTCATGTGAAAAATTGAATTCTGATTTCTTAATTTATTTGTAGAAGAAACTAAAGCTAAGAAATTGTGTAATTGTAAATGAAATAGAATTTATTTAAGTTTTAACGAATTGACACAATTGGAATAATATGTTAATTTTTGGTTGCTAGAGTTAGTTTAATTGTTTACATTTGTATTGCTTCAATAATTAATCAGATTTTGCTTAAATTAACAAGAATAACAGTTAAGTACTTTTAACGTCTATAAAAAAATTATTCTTCTCCAATAAATTATATTATATTTTGTCATTCATTTGTTGACATCAATCACTTTAACGCTTAAAAAAGTAACAACTTACAAAAAAAAAACTTTCAAAGTTGAAACAATTGCATTGTCAGAAACCAAACATGTTTCTTCGAATAATAGTTCAATGCGAAGACTAAAATTCTTTGGTCATGTATGTCGATGGCAGAGAGTTATTATGTTGATTCCAACCTTTCAAGTACAAAATCAACGTATAATCATCATTTGTAAACTTTAACCGCTAAACGCCATTTCTCTCTTCATGCTTTTCAATTGTGATTTCTTCCACTTGTTTGTAGAGTGAATACTGAACCACCCAGGTGTAGCCGGCAAGACCTGTGTAATATGGACATGATTTTTTTTTAAAGCGGCAATATTTTCATTCGGAAAACAATTTGGCTAAACTAATAGTTTATCCAACCAGAAGTAAATTGTTCATCAAACAAAGTTTGAATGAAGAATTTTCGTTTGAAATGTTTTTCGACAAACAATGTTTGAAGGAAAATTTGTTGGATGAAAAACAAATATTTAATGATGAGTTTTCGAAAGGAAAATTTGTTGGATGACAATTTTCATCCATGAACTTTTATTTCTAAATCAAATACGGCACTTACCTCCAATATAGCAAAGAAAAAAGAAGATGATAGTTCCCTTTATTGGATCGGCATTGGTGTTAGAAAAGTAAAATAACGAAATGAATGGCAGGAAAACGAATACGATGACACCAACGAATGATACAACCAGAAAGGGAAGCATTGGACTGGTTTTTTCCTGTTTAAGTATAAAATAACGCAATACATTTGGCTACGAAAAGTTGATATTTTCTAAATATAAAGCGATATGCTTGATCTTTCCCATACAGAAAATTATGGGTAATTGGGTATGCTATTTTGACATCATAATTGGAAATTTCCACCAAAACAAAAAACCGCAAGTTTTCAGTTCAAATTAAATTGATCAGAAAACTGATTTTAAATTGATTTAATGACAAAATCACAAGATTGGTTCCACAGTCCACACAGATTGAAGATTACACTTTAGCTCGCTTAATAGGCGGTTGAAGCGGGAAATTTCGCTGCGAATCGAAAGAAGGTCGAATTTCCCGTCCAAGAACGTCTTATTCAAAGAATTTTCTATGAGCGGTTAAAAAGTTTTGACCAAAGGAGCGTGTATTTAGCATTTAAGAGAAAATTTTCTTCGAAAAAACTCCCCTTTACGTTGCATTCCATACAGTGTTCAAAGAAACAAAGGGAAAATGAGCCGACACAAATCTTCATGCTTTAAGAGAATGACTGTGATGTTGTTCACACAATTTGTAAATAAACACGAAAAAAAAAACACTCTTGATTCGTAAACAAAATATCCTCTTCCAATCGAAAGGCTGCGATATAAAACAGAATGCCCTGCATTTCGCTGAAAACTCGACTTTAATGACGCTAAAATGATTTCATTGCCATCAACAAAATTCATTCAAAAGATTAACAACATAGATAAAGTTAAAAATAAACATACACAAATGATTCCATAGACCCAAGCAACCGCTATGACCAGACAAATGGCTGTAAATCCAAAAGAAACATTAAAATGTCGATTCAAAACTCAATAAATAAATCTGAATACGAGTAAAAGACCCTCGTTGCGTTCAGACTCTCGCAGTCATTGAGAGAGCGAAACGCATAAAATCAGCGGCGTCCTTGTAACGTCATGATAACCCAAATGAATGGTGGAAGATGTTACTGTTTATGCTCGACATCGTGGCGCCTTTTTTAATACATGACGTAATACTCTACTCACTCGTCACAGCTAATTCCCATATGCCTTCCGTACTGTTATCCGTATTATGATTCAATTGATTAATGCGCACGAATAAGCCCACCGACACCAAATCCACCGAAATTGCTATTACACCCATCACTAAACCTGCCGTTCGCAATCTCAGGCAAACGCAACTATTCACCGTTGGCAACGGCATTTCTTTTTCACTTTGGAAAAATGGAAAACTTTGGATAAATTGAGAGAACAAACACGAAAATCACCACTTCTTTCGCGAAAATTGAACACTAAATTCTAACAATTAAAATAAAAGATTTGTTCGAATGTGAAGACGATTCAGAGAAAACGGAACGTTTCAATTGAAATTCGACAGCACTTTTCTCACACTGATGCGCCACCGAAGTTTTTCCAAACAATGACAAAACTAGGACACCACAAGTGAACTGAAACTATGGGCAACGACAGAGAACACACGCATACGCACCACACGCACACACTCCGTTTTGCTCTTTTAAATGCTGTGTTGGTGGGAACTGCTCTGATTTTGTAGCAGTTTAACACAATTTTTTTTTTTCAAATACAACCATGGTTTTATAACAAACAACTATCGTTTGATAGCAAAGCTGAAATGTTGGAAGAAAATACGAGAAACCGTGATGAAAAACACAATATGGAGGAAACACCATGGTCTTTCAAAGTGTGTACACTTTTTTTCATTTTTAAAAAGAGACAAAATCTGTTTTCCACAGAAAATCTAATTTAAACACTATAATAGCCACTGAACTCTGGGAAAAAGCAATTTTGAGAAAGTAAAAGCAATGAAAACTCAGCTTGAAATGATAAAAATAGAACAATCGACCAATGGAACCCACATCAACAATTGGTATACAGTGAATACGAAAATTATTTAACGTCACGTTTGATGTTCTCGTGCATTTGATAATTGTGGCCAAATGCTTCATAAACATGCATAGTAACATGTACAGAGATTTGGGTGATATATGGTTTCTATCTGGCGCCAGGTCAGGTTTGAATTTTCGAAAATGAATGAAAATTCGAGGGAAATAACGAAATTAACAAATGATCGATCTAACACATTCATTGTAAACATTTGAACATCAACAACTTCGATAGCTAGAATGAAATTTATAACATCAGGCCACGGATTGACTGGTAATGAAAATGTGAGCTCTTATTTAAAAAATGAGAAGAATACAATGAAAAATCTGTTTGTGAAACATTGCTTTTATTTGACATGAAATTCAAAACATTGGTTCTTACTTTTGGCTTTGTTTTTCTATTTCCATTTCTCCTTATTTGTGAGTTTTTGTTTCTATTTGCTTGCTTCAATTTGAATGTATTTTTAGTAAATCAACGGTAAATCTGCCCATTCCGTTGAGTATACGGTTATCGGTAGTTCTGTAAACTGCATGTTCAAAATTATGACTTCATTTTGATGTTTGATTCACAAATTGTGTGCCAAAGAACATTAAAATTGAGTTCTGTGAACGACATCTCTATCACTCTAATAGCCATTCACAAAGAAACGAGTCTGTGTGACAGTTAGAATGAGAGAGAAAAAGCTGGGAGAGTCAGTTTAAATGTCCTTGTAAATACACAATTTAAGCAGAAGGTGATGAAGAAAACGGACATGAAGAAAAAATATGTCGGTAAAACTAAATATCACAAACCTTGTACGATATTTCGTTACTCATTTTCGAAGAAATGAACATCGAGCTCACACCACAAGCCGAGGGATGCGCCTATCTGTGTAATTTGTTGTTGTAATTTGATAGTTCGAACTCCCACCGCTTACGTGTACAATGCAAATCAAATGTATTTCAGTGTGGCGCTAGTAGCATGTAGTTTGCCTTAGACGCAGCTCTCGCCACAAGCCACAGCGAAGCTACATTTAATCAAATTCATATCATCATCGAGAGATGTTTGTGAAAATGCAATCCATTATTTCCTTTTGATTGAACAAATTAGCTTAATTCAATTTGAATTATTCAAATGAGGGAAGTTCAAAACCAAATCCAAATCATGTCGTCTTTC